TTTTTTCTGCGCTGTCAGGGACCGAGGGAGCTGAGGGTCTAGGCGTCCCTGCGCACATTTAAAGGGGCCAGGGCTGTGCTCATTGAGAACCTGAGGAGCGAGGTTTAAGGGACCGAGGGACCGTTTAGCTCTTTATGTTCAGATCCGGGCGTTCATTCAGTCTAGTCTAGTTGCGGTGCCGACCACCGAGCAAGGCAGCCCCTGAGTTCTTGCTCAGATGCGGAGGTCCTGGGGACCCAGAACAAATTAAGCAACAAATACCACGGCAAAGCGGCATGGCCGCAAGGAAGATCAGCCTGGGCAGCCTGGGCTTTCGGAGGCCGGAACCCATGAGACGTGAGGAATGCGCATTCCCGGGCACTCGCCAGACTCCCTAAATCATAACTCCGTGTTTTAACTGCTAGGTCCTGCTGAGGAAGCTGAAGTCAGAACTGGAGCAGAGAATGACTGTCCAGGCAGCCCTCCTAGGAGGGGGCTGAAAAGTGATAGCTGGGGACTGAGGAGGCTTGTCAATCCATGGGGGCCCAGGGCCTCCTGGGTACTGCCTGTTGATGGCCACACAGATGCTTTTACCCGCAGGGACCCCCTATCTGATTGTCCACCCTGACATCTGTAGCCCTGCTGCTTGGAACTGGAGCTCAGAAGAGGCCCCCAGTGGAGAGGGGTCAGCCAAAGGAGAGGCTAAAGGAACAGCTTGTACAGACTTGGGGGTGTGAAAAGGCTTGACCTGTTGGGTGAGGGCCACTGAGGGTATGGACTTGGTCTAGAATAGCCCCGTGAATACTTACCACTCTGGAACAGAAAATCTATGCCTAGGTTTGGGGAGATGGCTCAGCGGGTAAAGTGCTTGCTGGGCAAGCCTGGTCATCAGAGTTCGATCCCATAAATAGATGATTATTTTAAAAGTAAAGAAAATCTGTGGCTGGAGGTCTTAGAAAACTTGATGGATCAATACACGAAGGTGATCTGGTGATGGAGGTGATAGTGGTAGAGACAGAGGTGGTAGAGATGACCTTGGAAGTGAAGGCCGAAAACGTGGTAGAGGTAGAGGATGTAGTAGTAGAGATGGCGATGAGGTGATGCTGCAGGTGGAGAAGGTGGCAGAAGCAGCTGTGGAAATCATGGTGAAGATGGAGGACATGTCCTCAGTGCAGGAAACAGAAATAATGAGGAGGTGGTGGTCAGCTGAAGGAGTTGGTGGTGATAGAGGCTGTGGGGATGGAGCAAGTGATAGAGTTGGTGGAGCCCTTTATTTTAGATCTGGGGGTTCATTCAGTCTAGTCCAGTAGAGGTGCTAACCGCCAAGCAAGGCAGCTGCTGAGTTCTTGCTCAGATGGGGAGGTCGCTGGGGACCCAGAACAAATTAAGCAACAAATTGAAGGAGATGGTTAAGGAGACAGAAGCAGTGGGGATGGTGGAGTTGAGGTGGTAAATGTTCAAGGTGATGGAAAGGGTGGTAATGATAGAGCTCATCAACATGATGGAAGTAGTACAGGTGATAAAGGTGGTTGAGGTTTTCAAAGTGATGGAGCTGGTAAAGCTGTGAGGTGATAGAGATATTTGGTCAACTAATGGAGGTAGTATCGGGATTGATCATATGATAGATGGGATAGAGATGGTAGAAGTGGTTAAAGTAATAGAGATAGTGGAGGTGATAGAAATGGTGGATGTGGATGTTGGTTGAAGTGAAGGAAGTGATGGAGGTTGTAGAGATGGAGGAGGTTGTCAAGGTGATGGAGATGGTATGGATGATGAGGTTGGTGGAGATGATGGAGGTATTCAAGGTGATAGAGTTGAGGGAGGTGAAACAGTTGGTGGTAGAGAGGGTGAGACAATATCTGTTTGGAGGTGGGAATAAATCCCTTCAATAGTTTATGTAAAAAGAAAATATGTTTTTAAAAGTAAGCTTTTTTCTGAAAATAAGCAATAAAACCCCAACGACAGAGGAGCCTCCTTGTAGGAGGGAGGCCCCAGCCATTCAAACACCACCAGGGCTGCTCTTGCTCTGGAGTCTGTGGATAGGAGAGGGGGAAGGGAGAGACCTGGATACTTTTCGAAGCCTAACCCACTACAGTTGGATGTGGAATTTATGATCACAGCCCCAAGGCCGGTTGGGAAAACCCCACAGGCCTGAACTTGTTTAGCTGATAGGAAGGTGTAGAGTGAGGGGCTGTGAGACTAAAACTCATTCCTTTGTTTGTTCTTCCTGATGAGAGAAAATAGATTCAAAAGCCTAGGGCTTTGCAAACATCCCAGGTTCACTAAGGCAGCTAATTGATAGAACAGAGCCCCAAGCCCTTGAAGAAATCAGGGAATGACTACAGATACGAAGGAGCAAGATCATGCATGAAGAATGGCCATCGTGGCTACTGTTTGAGTCTTTAAGAATGCATTCTTTCTAAGAACCCTATAAAGGAGTCATTGTGTTCCCATTTCACAGATGGGAAAACTGTGGCCCTTACAGCCCAATCAGGACTCACATCCAATCCATCCATCAACTACTTCTCCCAAGTTGCCTTGTGAAGGCAAGAGCCTGTCCCCATTTCTCAAGACATCTTCAAGGCAAATGCCTACAGATACAGGGACCACCTCCAAGGCTCTGAAGCATCTGAGCAATGGCCAGGTTTGAGCCTCCAAGCTGGGAGAACTGGGTGTAGAAGTAGCTGGGATGTCCAGTGCATTTGCCAGGTGAGGCAGCTGTGGCCATGGTAACTAATGCAGTGGCTGACAACTACTAAGCCCTGTTCTCAGCTCAACCCTCTGCATCCTGCATCCTCCTCACGACAGCAGGAAGGGATGGCTGTGGCTTTCCCCACTGTGCAAATAAAGAGACTGGAGTCAGGAGCCAGGCCAGAGTCAAAATGCAGAGCTGGGGCTGGAGCTGTATCCGAGTTGGTGTGTGTCTCAGGTCTGTGTCTGCTGCTTGCCTTTGAGGCCCCAGGACCCTCCCCACCCCCTTAACCCTCCTCCCTCATCAATATTATACTTCTTCACACTAGCAAATGTCTGTTTTTATTATCTTCAGACATTCTGAGACTCATGACATCCCTGCACAGAGCCAAGTTCCTGGCAGCCTGAAATCCAGCTCCCTAACCTCTGCCTGTAGCCCCCACAATGCCAAGCCAATCCCAAGGTGGGACGCGGGTCATCCTCCACAGACAAGCATCCAATCTCTCCACATCCAAGCCTCTTACACAGGCAGTAGAACCTTGAGGATGACCCCAGGCCACTCACTGAGTCTCAGTTTCCCCACTGGCAAATCATAATAGCTAGTATTTGCGGAATGCTTGCTCCATGCACTTAGTAAATGTTTGGTAAATATTAACTTACTCAGGCCTTTCAACAACTGAAGAGCAAAACATTGTTAGTACTGTTGTTATACAGGAGGCTGTCACAGCACAGAGGCTAAGGCGCTTGCCCAGGAACACACAGCTGTGTGTGATACATTGCAGGCCCTGGTTCCGGGGGCACCTTCTTGCCCCATCCTGTGCTCAGTAACTGTCTATATTCATTAAATGTCTAGGACATAGCTGACACTCAATGATTGTTTATAGACAAACTGGAACTGAGACACACAAAACACAAAACACCAAAGAGACAAAAAAGAGCACTTATTGATCACCTTCTGTATACTAGGATGGGTGGAGTTGGGAGTGGAGGTGGAGGGCACTGTGGGAGCCCAGCAGGAGACACAGGGCCTGGTGTGGGCTCTGCTTCCTGTCCCCACTCGGAGGGGGTGACAATCAACTTCATTTCCTGCCAAGACAGAGGCCCTTCCCTAAGGACCTCTACCAATGGCCTCCTCTGCCTCCCAGTCCTATGGCAGAGTCCCCCTGTGCTTCCCATTTTCCATGAGGCATGCCTTTTGTCACCAAGCACAAAGTGTGTCTACGCAATAGAAATCCCCCTGGCCCTACAGCCAGACTGCAGCCTGCGGCATTATCAGCCCTGGCTCCCCCCTGCAAAGTAAGCAGTTGCCTTCCTGGCTCCAGAAAGGACAAGTCTAAGCCATATACCTGTCTGCAGGGATAGAGTTTTAGCAAGGCTACCCTTCCCTCCCTGATACAGAGATCGTGGGTGGGGAGGGTAACACCAGAAGGTTAAGCTGGGCATCTCCTCACCTCCTTGCTCACCTGTACCCAGAGAAGAGCAGGAGACTCTGAGACCCCCAGCCTCCATAGTCAGGGGCCCCATAGCCCTGGGCAAGTCTCTTTGCCTCTCTGCCCTCAGTTTTCTCCTCTGTACAATGGGATGGGTCAATGTGGCTCTCTCAGGGGAATAGAGTTTGAGTGCTGGTATCTTTCCTGGGCACCTTCTGTCTTCACTGCCAGGCTCGAAATCAATCATGGTATGCTCAGACAGAAGGGCTGAAATCAAGCTGCCTGTGACTGGGCTGAAATCTTAAGGGGTTGGAGGGGGCATTGGGGTGGGCTTTAAAGGCCTTGGCATTTCCTAGGAGGAAGAGATGGCCATTCCGGGTGAGGGTTCCAGCTGGAGACGGAAGTGGTAGCCCTGATGAAGGAAGTGGTATAGCCAGGAAAGCTCTCTAGTGATAGCCAGAGTTGGGACTTTATCAACAGGTGATGGTAACCCCTAGAGCATTTGTAGGGAGACAGTGACACTGTCAAATTTCTAGGAAGCTGTGTGGTGGCTGCAGTGCAGGGGAGGGCCATGCACGTGAGGTGCAATGACCTCATGAAGGGGAAGCAGGGGTGCTGTGGGACTGCTAGGCCTGAATTCATGAAGTCCTGCCTCATAGCTACAGGGGCTTAGATGTATGCTGGGAGGGCTTCCAGGAGG